TAATTTTAGCCAAGTTACTTAAAATCTCTTGTACCCAACTGCTTTATCTGTCGTGTGGATATAATGTATTCCTTATCTCATAACATTGTTTGAAGGATTAGATAAGATCGTTTAAGACAAAGTACTTTGAAAACAGTAAACAGAGCTATACTAATATAACATGGAGTAATTCTTTTAAGAGCTGTCTACTTTCTAAAACACTGATTTTCAACTAAATTTTTTTTTAAAAAAGGCAATCCCAAAGGTGACATACTGTATGATTCCATTTATATTGACACTCTCGAAATGACAAATTTATAGATGTGGAGAACAGATGAGTTGCCAGGGGTCAGGGACAGGGCACAGGTGGGAGGGTAGTGGACGTGGCTTTAAAAGGGCAACAGGAGAGATCCTCATGGTGATGAAACTATTCTTTGTCTTGACTGTATGGCTGTGATATCGTACCACAGTTTTGCAGTACTTTACACCTGGAGACTAATTAAAGGATACATGGGATCTCTCTGTATTTTTCTTACAGGTGTTTCTAAATTACAATGATATATTTATTATATAATATTTTATATATTTATCTCAAAATACAAAATTTAATTTAAAAATTTTGTAGACAATGTGAGTTCATGACACAATGGGGGAAAACCTGGGATATCAAGTGAACAAAGTAGAATAGAAAACTATAATTAAAGAAGACAAAAAGTAAAGAAATAAATTACATAAATCTTGAGAAATTAGGAAAAAACAGGAAAAGGAAATCAATAAAGATAAAAAGTTGAAAATTAAGCGCATACACACACACACACACACACACACACACACACACACACACACACACAAATAACGTAAGGTAAAAAGGATAAATATATCCAAAACCAGGTTCTATAAAACAACCAAAAATAGATAAAAGTGCTTACTAACCTGACTAAAATATAAAATATAAGAGAGAGAACACAAAACCAGACAAGGTTAAGCCCAAGAAAGAAAACATGACTACAATGAGGAGATAGTTTTTTTTAAATTATAAAATAAGAGGGTAGCATATGCTCAATTAAATTCATGGCAACATTTTTGAAAACTTAGAAGAAATAGATATTTTCCTAGCAAAATACAAATGACCAAAACTGACCCCAAAAGATTTGAATAGATGAATTACCATATAAAACACTGGAAAGGTAATTAAGGATCTACCAACTGAAAAAGACACTGAAACTTCATATTTGGGCTTCACAGCTGAGTTTTATCTGACCTTAAAACACACACACGCACAATTTCTAAGGACAGAGAATAAGAAGGAAAATTCTGCAGTTCATTTTACATAATTTACATAATTTTAATCCTTAAACTTGATGAAAAGAATCCAGTAAAAAATGACTCCAGGGACTTCCCTGGTGGTGCAGTGGTTAAGAATCCGCCTGGCAATGCAGGGGACACGGGTTCAATCCCTGGTCTGGGAAGATCCCATATGCCGCGGAGCAACTAAGCCTGTGCGCCACAACTACTGAAGCCTGTGCACCTAGAGCCCGTGCTCCGCGACAAGAGAAACCACCACAACGACAAGCCCGCACACTGCAACGAAGAGTACCCCCATTGGCCACAACTAGAGAAAGCCCGCACGCAGAACGAAGACCCAACGCTGCCAAAAATTTAAAAAATAAATAAAATAAATTTTTAAAAAATGACTCCAGTGTCACTTATCAGTACTAAGGCCAGGTTCTAAAGAAAAGACTGACAAATAGAATCCAATAATATATTACAAATAGTAATATTATTATGTTATTTCAGTAATGTCAGAGTAGTTCAAAACCAGAAAATCTAATGGCATAATTCACTATATCAAAAACTTAAATTAAAAAAGGATCAAAAACATTGAAAAAGCATTTGATAAAATACAGAACCATTTTCATTTAAAATATCTCCAAGTAAATGTGGAAACTATTTAAATATAATAGACTATTTGACAAATACCAACAGCAAATACGGAGAAACAGCATTTCTATTTGAAATTAGTTATAGACAGAGTGGCCCACCAGCATCATTTTTATTTAACGCTGTCTTTGAGTTTCTAGCAAAAACAGAAGAAAATGAAATAAATGATATAACCATTGGAAAGAAAAGATAAAACTAAAATAATAGTTACCAGAACTAACAAAACAATTAGGTAAGATAGCTAGATATAAAAACTATTTTTAAAATTAATAAACTTTTTCTATTCTAGCAAGAGGCATTTAGGAATGGAAAGGAGGATAGTATTCCACTCGTAACAAACAAAAAAGTTCTTAAATCTTTAAGAATAAATGTATCAAGAAAGGCATAAAACAAGATCTGAGCAGATGGAAAGAAATGCCATTTCTTAGACAAAAAGAGCTATAGGTTTTAAAAAATCAATTCTTACAAAACTGAAATTTAATGCAATTCTAATTAGAATCCCAATAGGGTGGGGTTGGGAGGGCTGAATAAGTGATATTAAAATGTGTAGAAAAGAAAAATTACCAAAGAATAGCCAAGAAAAATATTATTGAATCTAATGTAATCCAATCAACATGATTTAGGTACACAAATAGACACACAGATGAAACAGAACAGAGAATCCATAAATGGATCCTCGTATATAAAAAGTTTGATGACAAAGGTAGCAGTTCAGTTCACAGGGGAGAGTAAGGATCACTTAACATATTATGCTACTGTCACTGGTTATCCATCTTTGAGAAAACAGTCTTAACAAAGACTGGGAACCCAGAAGCTATAAGAAAATAATCATATTTGGATATGAAAAAAATTATGTGGAAAAATATACCATCAGTAAAGTCAATACATACAGATTTGGGGAAGATATCTATAATAAAGAAGGTAGACCAAGGGCCAATATCCAAAATATACAAAGAGGGCTTACAGGTTAAGAAAAATATAAATAACCCCTAGGAAATGGGTAGACAGCATGAACAGATAATTCAAAGAGAAAATCCAACTGGACCAAAAAAAAAGAGAGAGAGAGAGAGAGGGAGAGAGAGAGAGAGAGAGAGACAAAACCAAAATGCATTAGTAGCCAGGGAAATACATCCATTAAGTTGTCAGAATTATAAAAGAACCATAAAACCTTATGCTAGTAGGGATGTGAAACAAACAATAATCTCATATGTTACATATAAAAGGGAAAAGTGAATTATAACAGCCTGTTTTTGTAAATCAATATGGAAACAAATATTTATATATATATAAACATTTGTGTCTGTGTGTATAAATTGAAAGCACCAGTATATAAGGGCATAAGCACAATGATGTTTAATTCAAGCATTGACTGTAGTGGCCGAAATCTGGAAAGAATGTAAATGTTCATTAGTAGGGGAATAGCTAAATAAATTGTGCATCCATGAACTATTTTCCAGTCTTTTGAAAGAATAAGAGCCATACCAAGAAGCTTTGATAGATTTTCATGAGATGAAAAAAGTAGGATGTGTTAAAGTATATATAGAATTCTATTTTTATAAAACAATTAACAAAAACAGCAAAACATTCCAAAACCCGTGTGTGTGTGTGTGTGTGTGTGTGTGTGTGTGTGTGTACCTGTGAGCATGGAGAAAAATATGGAAGGATACATACTGGTTTGGTAATATACAGGGATGATGTGGAAAGGTAGAGGCAAGGGACAAACCAAATAAGGAAAAGGACAGGATAAAAAGGACCACTATAAAAAAATAAATCCAGCAGTTATATTTATGTATTTTATATGTACAAACACACATAAATTGAATTAAATTTAGAAAAGATACAATAAAAAAAAACTAAATGTGGTCTCTGCTTGTTAAAATTTAAAAAAAGCAAAAAAGGAAGGCAATAACCAAAATAATCTCTTGGTAGGATTAGGGGTGGTGTTTATTTCCTTCTTTATGTTTCTGCATTTTCTATAATGAGAACTGTTACTCTCATAATAATGAAATAAAACCAATAAATGTTACTTTTAAAACATGACACTGAAAAATTGAGCCCATTTTGGGAAATCAAGGGGGGGAAAACAGGGTTAAATACACCTTCCGCTTAGAAGCTGTCCAAGTAAGAGCTTATGAAATCAGGATCCATTACCCCTCATCCAGCAGAAAGTTATTCACCTTAGGCAAGAGACTAAGTGGCTATTCCAAGGAGCTTATCTGAAGCAGCAAATAGGGTATATTTTCCCCTACCTAACACTTTAAAGAATTAACTAAATCAGAAAGCCATTTACACCACTCTCAATTATCTAAGGATCGGCTGGGCTCTTTACTTTTTGCCCCCTCTCTCTGGCTTGCAGCCATTTCCCTGCTCAGAAACAGCTCCAAAATGGGGGCCAGAGAAGGGGGAAAGAGACAAAATTAATTGGGTCGATTTAGCTTCTCATTAGCAACTCTAATAAAAGGTTTGATAAATGAGATGGTCACAACTCGTGGTTAAAATGAGGCTTCCGGGACTCTTGAGAATTTCATTTAAGCAAACTTGCCTTCAGACAAACATGATTTGCCTGCAATACACTTTAATGGATCTGATGCTTTCTATTTTAAAGAAAGTCAGGACTTGTAATAAGGTGATATTTTTCTCTCCTCACTTTAATTTGCACTTTAACAACAAAAAAAACCCCATAAAAACACAAAACAAAGTCCTTCAAAGTAGCCTCAGTGAAACAGCAGGACCACAGTACAAAGATTCGCTAAAGGAGGGGAGCTGTCTGGCCCCCAGCATACTCAAGAGAAACTTTACGAGGGCGGCAAACTTCCAAGGGGGAATGTCTTGGCCATAAAACACCACCACAAAGAATCGCTAAAAAGGATCTGTCAGGGCTTGACAAAAGCACAAAGGCCAAATCTCCACATACAACATTTGCCTGTTTCATTGGACCCTTGAAGACTTTTGCCCCTTGGGAAGCCCAGACACAAAGCATTGCAGGTTCAAGGTGGTCACAAGCAATGTGTTCATCACCCTTTGTTATCAAACAGACAAAGAGTTCAGCAATGGCAACAGAAAAAACAATCTCCCCTTACTTGAAGACGACGACAGCTCCCGGACATGGAGGGCAGGCCAGGAGAAAGATCTGCAATGGAAAATAAATTAAGTATGGTTATCAAGAGAAATGCTGGACACAGTGAGACAGTGTTATTTTAATAATAATATTAATTAATAACCAAACTCTTACACAGAAAATGTAACATAAAAGACTTTAAAAGACAAGCAAGTGGTGTTCCAAACACGTCTGTGTTTGCACATGCATCTATGTGTGCCTGTCTGTTCCGGCTGTGTGTGTGTGATGGGGAAGGGGTAGGTCGGGGAGAGCGGGAAAGAGATGGATGAAGAGCGGAAGAAGTAATTGGTGGAGGGGTAGGAGATGGGGAGAGCTTTTCTTAAGCCATTTCAGCCTCTAAAACACTTCCTCTTAACCTCTAGAAGACTCAATTTTTCAATTCTTCAAGTTCAGCATGACACGAGTCGCCAGTATGACAAGCTTTTAACCTAGGACAAGTAAAAATGGATTCTGACATAGGACAAATACACAAATGCCATCTGGTTTGCCTCCCATGGGGGAAGGTGGGTTAATCAATACCTAGCTTTGCCAGATTTAGAAAGAAAAATACAGGATGCCAAGTTAAATTTGAATTTCAAATAAACAATGAACAATGTTTTAGTATAAGTATATCCTGAATAGTATAGGGAACGTACATATACTAAAACATTATTCATTGTTTATCTGAAATTCAAATTTAACTGGACAGCCTCTATTTCATCTGGCAATCCTATCAATATTGCCACCCCCCAGGCTCTTAACCTCCCTTTGATTCTGAAGGGGAGCAGAATTTGCTACCCCAAAGTTTGTTTCTTTGGCATAAGGATTACTTTAGGCTGATTGTTTTTAAGAAACAACAGACATAGGAAAAGCTCTGAAAACTGTGTAGAAGTTACCCTTCTGTAAGAGACATCTACATTTATAAGGAAAATCTCCATTTGTTAAGGTGTCTCCCTCTAGGAAAAGAAGGAAGACTCTAAATCTCTAGAAACTCTCAACAATGGAGAAGGCAAGGACCTAAATCTGCCTAACAACCTTACCCTTGTTCACTGTGCTTTTCCTGGTCACCTCCAGGAACTGGGCTCCTCCACCCCTACGCACCAACCAACACTCAACATCTTTCTTTTAACTTTGGCTGAAGATGGTATTTAAGGTGGTGGATTGGGCCATTTCAGGGAGTTAGTCAGTTTTCCTGGGTCTCCCTCATGTATACAGGAGGTATACATGTTTTTAAACTTCCGTTGTTTTTCTTCTATTAGTATTATTTTCCTCCTTCACATTTGATTGGTTTGTTTCGAAGCATGACTAAGTGGGTCCCTTTCTAGTCTCCCTGCTCAAACCAAACAAAAAGAACCTGGTCCTTCTAAGAGACCATCAGTCCCATGCTACTTGGTTTGAACTAGGCCTGGGTTACAGCCCTCAAAAACCTACAGCCGTGGCAGTCTGACTGCACCAAAGCACTGGTTCTCAAGAGGGACAAGGAAAGCCCTGCAGAGCACTTATAAAATGTGTAAATTCCTGGGCTCCCCCCATTAGGAATGCTGATTCCAGAAGTTTGGGGTTCCAGGAATCTGCACATTTTAACAAATGCCCCAGGAGATTCAAACACTCCAGGCAGCCAGATGTGCTGAAGGTTTGATCAAAGACATTCAGCAAAAAAAAACAAAAACAAAAAACAAAACAGACATTCAGCAGAAGGATTGACAAAAGAATGAAACTCATGTTTATGGAGTTACTTTACCTACAGTGACTTAATGGTGAGGATTTACAAAATCATTGATATGTGTCCCTCTCTTGTGGTGAGCGTTTATGAGCAGACATTATCTGCATTATGGGCTAGCTTGGCTTTGTCACGAGTATATTCTTTACATCCTGTCCTTCAGTTCTCTCAGAATCTACACTTAAGAGGAAAGGGTACTATAAGGAAAATCACTATAAGTAGAGACACCTGCTTGAATCCCTGCCACGAAGAAGAGAAAGAATGGGAAAGAAAAAGGGTCTTGAAAGGAACACGGCCAGGAGTCCATTACCCACACAATAGTTCATCAAAGAACCCCGCCAAGAAAATATCCATCGAGAACATGCCTTTCCCCTGTGGATCAATTTGATTAAAAGTGCAAAACCAGTGACAGTTGCAGGTCCACAATCCTTTATCTGCAATTGCCAAATCCAAAAAGCTCTAAAAACCAAAAGTCTGTTTTTTGTTTGTTTGTTTGTTTTCAAAACGAATTTGGTAGCAGATATGACTTGAACTGAGCTGACTTTCTTTACTGCATTTATGGTGAGTATTCACACATTTTCCACAAAAAGAATGTATTTTGAATATGGGGTGCTGTCCCAGACCCCACTGGGAGTGTCTGTAAAACACGTTCACTGGGGCTTCCCTGGTGGCGCAGTGGTTGAGAATCTGTCTGCCAGTGCAGGGGACGCGGGTTCAAGCCCTGGTCCAGGAAGATCCCACACGCCGCGGAGCAATTAAGCCCATGTGCCACAACTACTGAGCCTGAGCTGTACAGCCCACGAGCCACAAGTACAGAGCCTGCGTGCCACAACTACTGAAGCCCGCGCACCTAGAGCCTGAGCTCCTCAACAAGAGAAGCCACCGCAATGAGAAGCCCGCGCACCGCAACGAAGAGTAGCCCCTGCTTGCCACAACTAGAGAAAAGCCCGCACGCAGCAACAAAGACCCAACACAGCCAAAAATAAAAAATAAAATAAAATAAACACGTTCACTGTATTGCCTTTCTAAAATCCAAAAAATTCAGACTTATGAAATACATCTGAACTTAATGGTTTGGGACAAGGATTGTCAACTTGGAATTTCAATCATCCAGACATGAACTTAACCCCACTCCTCAATCCCACCTGTCAGGAGCAGTCCAAGAAAGAAACAAAGCTGGTATTCTTTACCACTGACCCAGCAGTAAAGTTACTCACCTTAGGCAAGGGACCAAGTTGGAGGCTGTACATAGTTACCCAGCATCAGGCCCATCAAAGGCTACATTCAGAAGCTACAGTATATAGAAAGCAGACAGGGGCCCCTAACCACCTTGGAAAGAATACTTCTGGAGTCACCTAAGAGCCATGCCAGCAGTCTTCCTGAGCTTCTGGAATACCCTAGATACTTCCAACATGCGAAAACAGAGAAGCAAAAATGCGACACTGGGCCCCACTGTTCACTCTTACTTTTCTATACCCACAGCCAAGAGGAGATAAGCAGATTCTTGGGGGCCGATTTCCCTGTAACTGCTCCATTTGGCTGGTTCTGATCCACGACAGCCCTATGCCAGAGGCCCAGAAACCTACTGAAGAAAGCAAGCCTCCAGTCCCAACTCACTCATGCATCTGATTTCTCTTCAGGTAGCTCTGCTAGTCTTGACTGTAACTGAGTTTTCCAACAGTTACTTTCCTGTGGCCATGTCATTCCCAACCAGCACATTGGCCTACCTCGTCTTGCCTGTCTATTCCCAACACCAGGATAGAGGGTATCTTTTTCAAGCAACCTTTAAAGCAGATACATGTAGACACATCAAAAAAGGAGATTTGAAAAATGATCCCAGGAACTTCCCTGGTGGCGCAGTGGTTAAGAATCCGTCTGCCACAGTGGTTAAGAATCTGCCTGCCAATGCAGGGAACACGGGTTCGAGCCCTGGTCCGGGAAGATCCCACGTGCAGCAGAGCAACTAAGCCCGTGCACCACAACTACTGAGCCCGTGTGCCACAACTACTGAAGCCCGCGCGCCTAGAGCCTGTGCTCTGCAACGAGAAGCCAACACAATGAGAAGCCCGCGCACGGCAACAAAGAGTAGCCCCAGCTCGCCACAACTAGAGAAAGCCCGCACTCAGCAATGAAGACGCAACACAGCCAAAAATAAACAAAATTAAAAAAAATTTTTTTTTTTAGTTTATATGAAAAAGGATCCCAACTCCATCCTATTCCTTTTCCAGTAAACTCACAGTCTCCTCTGGCAACTTCATAGATTTATGACACTAAACCTCTCTGCTTTGTCATGTTGGAGCCACATCCATAATCACCATTAACCAAAGGAGAGGAGTGAAGATAACATGTTAATTCAGAGGCCCAAAGGCCCCCAGCCTTGGCCCAAATATCCCTGCTCTCTTCTTTGATTGGCTGCCAACTGCCTCCAAATTTTGTTGGCGTTTGTTTCAGCCTAGCAGACGGAAAGCTAAACTATCCCTTAAGCTGCAAATAGGGAGGGAAGAGAGGACACTTGGAAGTACAAACAAGGACGGCAGGAAGATGAGAAGGTATCTGAGCACATCCCAGTACCGACTTGGCACTTTGTGTTCATGCTGCCATCCGCCCAGCTAGGCACCTGAAGAAAAGGGCGTGGGCAGGGAGCACACAGAGAAATGCTACAAAGCACTTCCACTTACCCATCGCCTGAGAGGTAAGCAGGGCCTTCCTATGAAATCCCATTTTACAGATGGAGAAACCCAGGGGGAAGGTTCTGACAAGGTTTCTGGCAAGAACCCAGGTCCCGTAACTCCCGGATCAATACACTTTCCACCTCACACCTGACATGGTCCCAGCCTCACGGGGGCTTCTCTTCTTTAGACTCTAGCCCTGCCCCTTGACCCCCCCCAACAGAACACATGGTGCCACTGCAGGAGCCCCACACCTGTACCACCACACAAAAATCTACTCCTCACAAGGCGAGACATCTCAAACCCAAACCTGCCTGGGCAGCAAATTATATTTACGCAGATGGATTTCAGAGTCCAGCAGTCTCTAAAGACAGGCTCATCTTAGCTCCAACCTGCTTCATTCCCAGATCTGCTGGGCGCTGGCAGTTCCTGAATCCTTACAAAACTGGACTCTTCGGGCTTCCCTGGTGGCGCAGTGCTTGAGAGTCCGCCTGCCGATGCAGGAGACGCGGGTTCGTGCCCCGTTTCGGGAAGATCCCACATGCCGCGGAGCGGCTGGGCCCGTGAGCCATGGCCGCTGAGCCTGCGCGTCCGGAGCCTGTGCTCCGCAAATGGGAGAGGCCACAACAGTGAGAGGCCCGCAT